ACGCACCTGGAGAGAATGATGCAGCAGAAAATGTATACGGGTTGGGGGTGCCATTCGAGAGGGGGTAAGGGGGGCAAGACGAGTAATTAACCATATGACAATGAGTACCGTCAGTATGAAGACCCTTCGCTAGCCGCTGAGAAGAAAGACCGGACTTATATGGGCTGGATGATGTGATGTCGACTCTATACCTAGAGAAACCAGATGAAATAGGTATGGATTGGAGCCCAATACTTTCAGACCGGCAGACGAATGTTCAATGACTATGCTACAATGGGTCCCACGAAATTACATAATTTAAACCCCCCCCCCCCCCCCCCCCCCCCCCCCAACAAAAAAATGTTTCAAAGAGTCACAACTCTTTCTAGGCTATAATCTGTTATGCTTACTTCCCCTGAGCAAGAACTAACTGCCGCAATGGGCAACGACAAAACGTCTTGGACAAAGAGATGGATTCATTAATCAAAATCTGGAGACCTCGGTTCATATAAAATGATACAAAAAACACCAGCAAGCCTGGGTTGCTTTTCCTTGGCAAAGCGCTAATTGTTTTGAATGAAAGCAGACCTCATTTAGAACGCTTCAGACAAACATGGCCGTTCATTTTTCCCGCTGCGGCTTTGCTGACAGTAGGGAGAGCCTAGCAAAATATTTATACTAGTCTCTCTGGGATGAGAGGAGAGGAAGGCGGTGTTTGGAATATCCGCAAAGTCGGCTGTGTTAGTCACCAATAAGAAACACTATGAAATAGGAGCAGAGTGAGAATGTATGATGCTTGCTTTAGTTTTTTTCAGATAAGGATGAGACAATAGGGGGACTCTGAGGCGCCATGAGGTCCTTTGGCAGTAGGGTAGGGAAAAGTAGGTTGATAATACTGCTGCCCTAGGAAACACTTCTTCTTCTTTGCGTTTACCGGTTGTTCTGGCTGTTCGTCCATTTTTGGACTGCAGTTCCTGTACAAGAACCTGAGTGTTGCGTGTGCATCCGTTTGACAGATCTGAGTAATTTGTATGCAGACTGTTGGTTCCTTGCCTCTCAGGCAGATAAACTCTGACTTCGAAGGAAGCTCCTAATTAGTCGACTCTTACGAATTGCTTTTGGGTAGGCAGTGGGTCTATTCTTGTTTTCCCTATAATAGGGCCCCGGAAAGGAAACATTTAAAAACCAGAACAGTTCTGGAGGTACACTGGGGAGGGGGAGGGGGGGGGGGTTATGTTAACAAGTTAAAAGTGACTGCTGCTTTCTTCATATATATATATATATATATATATATATATATATATATATATATATATATATATATATATATATATATATATATATATATATATATATATATATATTTAAACTGACGTCTGAATGTTGGGGAGGGTGGGCGGAAAATGAAGGGCCGGGGGATATGAGAACTACTTTGAAATGAAAATATATTAAACAGAGAGGGGAACCTTTTGAGGCCGTTAAATTGTTGCTGTGATTGTTTTTTGACATTTGCTTCGTTAATATAAATTTCTGTAACCTATGGTGCCATTTCAATGGGTTGAAATGAATTCTGTCCGTATTCCAAAGTTGTGGATTTCAAGCTGTACGATAGACATGGCCAATAAGACACCTTTTTCGGGGGGTGATTAGTTGACCATGTATCTTAGTGCACTGGTATTCATGGCGAGGCGCAGACGCCGTCTGGAGGTGACAGGTTCAATTCCTGGCACGGTAACTATAGCTTTCGATTTTTATGTTGTCTAGTGTGTTCTTCTATCTTTCTACTTCTTTCTGTGAGTGTCGATCACAATACTTTCTGTTACTTGATTCATACTATTTGAAATAAAAAGCATTGATAAAGGGAACTGGACTGATTCAGTGCAGTGGGTTTTATACTTTTTGCTCTTTATCTCTCAACAAAACGGGTAACCATCTGAAAAGAATATCACACAAAGCATGAACACTCTAGCACCAGTGTTGATCCAAATAAATCTCTGGGAAAACGACAGTCCGAGTGCCAGGTACACGGCCTGACCATTTTGTCGTTGGGACCTTCTCAAGCAACAGCTAGACAACTACTACTGCCACTTCCTGTGTGGGTTCCGTTCCCCCTTTTGGGACAAAAGAAAAGACCCTGTGTAACATTAACAAGCTAATCAAGGGTTTGTCGAAATCATATGTACTGGGCAGAAAGGTGCCGGTACTGTGGCCAAGCTGTAACACACTAAGTGAACACACCCTCAGTGACGACACCCTCAGTGACAACACCCTCAGTGATGACACCCTGGTAGAGCCCACACCACCTCTTTGCCAAAGAGATAAATGCCTGAATGGCTTGGCCACAAGAACAGACCTGACCATAGACTGTGTATGTATGAGAAAAGAATATTAACTGCTGACCCTTGTCAGTATGGGACATAATGATGGTGCTGTTTTCACAACAGCATACAGATATGATTATTTTTCACAATGACTTTCACACAGTCTGAGGAATTCCATTTTACACTGTTATCCTCATAGTCTGAGAAACCCCTTTCTAGAGAATGAATTATTCATATAGTTCAAGAAATCCCATTTCACAAAGTAAATGATTCCCATAAGCTCAGGAATCCCATTTCACAGAGTGAATTGTTCACAACCAGAAAGTGTTATCTCCCAGAAGGATTGCTCCACTGATATCAAACAATGCCTTGTATTGTCAAGTGGTTTTGTTGCCAGTAACATCTTTCTGATAATTCCCTTTCTTGTAAGCTTATCTCTAAGATGTAAGCTACCTCCGCTACACACAGGTACCTCAGTCTACAGCACGTTTTTCTTGTGAATTGTTAACCCAAGTACTTGATAAAATTATGTCTCGGTAAGCATACTCCTTGTGTATTTGTTAACCTTTTTTAACAATATGCTGATAGAGGTTAATAATAATTTGTTTATGAAATGATGTCATATTTTGTCAGAGCTTTTCTGATACTGTAGACTGTTGTTGCCCTGGAGACAATACACAGTTGTCTTTCTTGATAAAATGTTTGAAATTTAGTTTTAAAATATTTGATTTTCTTGATATATTATTAGAAAGATTGTGTGATTTATCTCTTTAGATCACTTTCTTAGATTCTAATGATGATTACTTGTAGAGATAATGATTCACTGTAGGGTAATTGTTAACTTGCAGGGTGTATTGGGAGCTGAGTGGTCTCAAGGTATTGTGTCCGCCTCGAGTGCTACAGGTCCCCGGTTCAATCCCCGGAGAAGGCTGAGATTTTTTAACGTGGTTTTCTAGTAATTTCCCCTGGTCTCTGGGCAGTAAGATTGGATGTTTGTGTGTTTGTTGCACATCTAACAATGCCTTGGCAGTTGGAAATTGGAAAGAGTAGCCTAACGGCGCTGCCCAGGCAAAATTTGAAGTCACAGTGGACCAAGAGGTGAAGAAAAGACGCCGGTGTTGGACAGGACACACATTGAGAAAACCAGAGAACAATATAACTAGAATGTCTGTGCACTGGAACCCACAGGGGCACAGGAATAATGGAAAACCAAAAAAAAACACATGTAAAAGAGAGCTAGAGAGTGAAATTAAAAAGATGGGGAGGATGTGAGGAGAGCTGCAAGTGACAACAAAGGACTTAACGTGAGTTGGTTGAGGCTCCATTTGGGATTAGAAAGGCAGAAGAAGAAGAAGAACTGCTGCAAGTAGAAACCCTGATGACAGAAGAGCTATCACATCTGTATCCTTACTTTCAGATCCTGTCAGAGCTTTTCTTCTAAAACAAAGTGTGCCAGTAGTAACCACAAAGTGTCTATTATATCATCTTCTTCTTCTACTTCCATTCGCTTGAAATAAAATATCTATATCTGCAATGCTGTCTCTAGTATGAACTTCACTGTCTTTTGTGATTCACTTAGCAGTCTGTAAAGTTTGGCTTCCACCACTGTCTCTCTTGGCCAAAAGTTTGGCCTGGAATTGTTGTATCTGGGACAGTTTTGGAGGATGTAATCTGTTGTCTAAGGTGCCAGTCCACATGTGCACTATATCTATATCTGGGAAACAAGTATGACTCTCACCATGTGACCAGCAGCAACTTCTGAATAATGCTTATTAGAAGGTGCCGGTACTGTGCACTGCTGCGTATCACCAGAGAAAAAAAGCCCTGGATCCTGCCAAAAATGCTGACACGCTAACTCTTTCAGTGTTAGCCAGCAGTTAATCAAAGTTTTTCTGCCGCTAGACATTTTAATTTAAAGCAGACAGTGTCTCAGTCTGCAAAAGTTAGGTTCATATCATGTGGCAGAAAACAAACAAATAAACAAATCTATTTTCATAGGGTCACAACTTGAGGTTGTAAGCCAGTCTTACATTCGTGTCTGCCAAACACTCATATTTCACACAGTAGTTATATTCTGACTTTAAAGCATGATATGTTCATACTGCAATATATACAATATGAATGTCAGGTGCCCTGTGTGTCCTAGAGGGCTCGCAGGTGACTCGGCAGACTGCTGCTAAAACCGTGAGCCAAAGAATATTTTCTTTTTTAATTTTTCATCAATCAATGGGTTTTAGCAAGCAAAACTCACTCAAAGTTATGGAAGAAAAGCAAAGTCCAAAAGTGGATGAACAACCAAAACTTTCTACCAGAGTTTACAGCTGGTGAACATGAAGAAAAAGAAGAAGAAGGAGGAGGAAGAAGAAGAGTCAACACACAAAAGCAAACATTACAAGCAACATTTCCCCATGTGGGTTTCGGGGTCCTATTGTGGGGGAAAACAAGAACAAATCCAGTGCCTCCCCAACAAGCATGTCATAAGAGTTGACTAAATGGGAGCTTCCTCCAAAGTTGGAGTGCATCTGCCTAAGAGGCAAGGAACCAACAATCTGTATACAAATAAGACAGATCTGTAAAACGGATGTACAAGCAAAACTCAGCTCCTGGAACAAAGCCAAAGTCAAGAAATGGACGAACAACCAGGTCTTTCTGCTGGGGTTTACAGTCGATGAACACAAACAATAACACAAGCAACCTTACCCCTGGATCCACATTGACCGCAACGGCCACACAGTGGTCCTCCAACATGGTCTCTTGCAACCGCCACTCTGGAGCAGGCTCATCGTCAATCTCCACAACTGTGTCACACACCATGTGACCAAGTTGTAACTCTGGTGTTCTGAACAGGAAGTTCAGTCGGTTGACTTCAAACCCTATCCCTGTGCCCATAGCTTTCACAACACTTTCCTTAAGACACTGAAAATACATTAAAGAATGCTAAGTTATTCGGTATATTTAAAAAAAAATTGTAGTTATATCACTGTCTGAAAAAAGACTGGCTTTAGCAATGCAGAAACTAAACAGCATGAAAAACCTAAGGAATAGCAAGTGCAAGAGAGTTAAAGTAAACACTTTAACATTATGCATCTTTTCTGTGGCAACTTATGGGTGTGAATCATCAATTCTTATTCCTCTTATTCTGCTTTTTCTTTTTTTTTACGTTCACTGTTAACTCTGGTGTAAAGTTCTGGCTGTTTGTCCACGTTTGGACTTAAGTCTTGTTCCAGAATTTTAGTGTTGCATGCACATCCATTTTACAGAACTGCTTTATCTGTATGCGGACTACTGGTTCCTTGCCTTTCAGGAACATACACACTGTCGTCTAAGGAAAGCCATAATTAGTCAACTCCTATGATGTACTTATTAGGGAGGCCGTGGGTCTAGTCTTGTTTTCCCCCTTACTACGGCCCTCGAACCCACAAAGGGGAGACTCTCATTCACTGGAGGAAAAATCTGAGCTGTTAAACTGAGATGCTACAGAAAAATAATTAGAATACCGTGGACCGAGAAGAAGAAAAACACTGGCATCCATCATGATCAGAGTGTCGAGGAGAATTGGCTCATAAACAGCATCCTGTCCCGCCAGCTGAGGTATTTTGGCCATGCTAAATGTCACTCTGGCCTCGAGAGAATCGTAACTGAGGGTAGTTTCTAGAAAATAAGTTATATACAGATCTCCGTTAAAAAAAAAAAAAAAAAAAAGTGGACACAAGATGCTGAAGATGCACTGGCTGTGAAAGCACATAGGGTTGGAGAACTGGTAAGAGACAGAGACACTTTCAGTGATGAGTGAAGTGTTCTGTAAAGGACCTGCTGACTGATGATCATCATCAACATCATCTTTGTCAACATTGTTATGTGCTGATGAAGGCTTTCTGCTCATATTTTTTTTCATTTGTGATTACGATTTATATGAAACTGACTAGTTCTACTTCTTGTATGAGTTAATTTTTTTTTCCTCTTGTGAAAATATTTCAAGCATATTTCATCAGACAGTCATCGATTCATGAGGTAAAGTGACTAACTCCCTTCCACCCCCATTACTGCTTTCTACAATTCCACATATGACCACATTTCAGTTCTGTCATTTAACCTGCGAAGGAGAAAAAGGAGGGGGAAGGGAGACAAAACAAATTCCAGTGAATCCAGAGGTGAGGAAACCAGGCTTGCATTGGCTGGGATACACATCAGAACAATCTGAGAAAATGTAGAGTCAAGTCACTGACCCTTTTCCACACCTTTAGGCATAATGGGCACATAGCTAGTCTTTCCTCTTGAGCCTATGGTGGCACATAGGGCAGAAGTCATAGCTCTCCATGTCTGGCAGTTCACTGCCACCTGTTTTATGTTTTTGGTGTTCATTAGGCCCACAGGTGAGCCTTCCCTGATGATGGTTTTACACAGGGTCTCTCTTGGTCTTTCCTGTTTACTTTGCCCTTCCGGCGTCCATATGAGGGCTTGATAGAGGAGACTGGTCTTAGCCATGTATGGCCCATGTAGTTCTAGCGGTGCTTTCTTATCAAACTGGCTACATTATCTTGCTTGGGCTCTTGTCTTATTATTCTGCACATGGTGAGTGATGTGGTCAACATCCTACTGGCCGCCTTTACTTCCCAGCTGCTACCCATTTAAAGCTGGGTCGACCTGAAAGCCAAAGTCATTTTATAAAGCATTCGGCTCCATTCAATTTTGAACTCCCGACTTTCGGATCCAAAGGTGAGCGTGAGAAAGAGTAGAAGAAGAAGATTTTTATTTCCTATGATCAGACTTACCCAGAGCCGGAAAAATGTTTTCAGCTGTTCCATATCTCCTTTTTTTCTTTTAACCTCAGACCACTCGTGTGATGTCAGCTGGCGTTCCATTGTGTTAAAAAACTCTGAAATGGGTTTATTCCCTGTAACCAAAAAGAATTATATTTTCAGGCTAACATTATACTACCACTGTCGGACATTAACTTTACTACAACTAATAAGCTATAATGTGGTATACTATATTTACGATGATTTGGACATTTTGGTGGAATAGAATAAAATTAGCCATCATGCCTATCCCTCCATTTATTAAAAACAAAATAAAAAATTGACCATGTTCAACCAACTGCGAGCAGTATCAGTTATAACTGTGGTCTGGTTTCTTTTTGCCAGTTATGTCGGCTAAGAAATGTTAATTGCCCCAAAACTAGTGGCTTGGCTGAGAACCAGCGAACCAGACCTCCAGGGTAACCCAAAGTCCACTGGAAAGACAATATCCGATAGTCCCTGACTGACAGAGAACTGGAATGGAACAAAACCAGAAAGAAAACTGCTGATAGAGATGTCTGGCAATCTCTCTGGCAAACCTTTACACCCCAAGGTAGAAGAGGAGCGACTAAATAAGTATGTAAGTGGTAAACTACGACAAATATACTAAATATTTATATGTGCATGTCCTTCTGATCCACAAGATCAAATCATTAATCTTTCATTGCAAAATTACCGCATTCTTAGTTCTGAAGGGGAAAAAAACTGTAATGAAGATGTCTTGAAAGAAGCTGACTCACGAAGAGAAGTAGTTACCAACATCAGAAGGAGATATTCTTTGGTCATGTCATGAGAAGGAGTAAACTGGAGTAATCTGGTAATCTTAGTTTCAGCTTCATAGCAAACGGGTTACCCCATCTTTGCTCCACTCCTGTGCCAATGAAAAACACACAGAATGTTTATCACAGTCCCTTGCGGGGAGGTTGACAGACTGCTGTCTCCGCAAATCTAGCATACACGTGCATTAAAAGTTTAGGGTAGCCATCCGAAGTGCTAACACAAACAGTCTGACATTAGAAATGCAGTTCATCATTGATGTTAGCAGAAGTCACCAAAAGATCAGCAGTTGCACACATGACTGGAGTACTTCAGGATGGTGGGAAAGCTGGAGTGGAAATGAGGCAGAGGGAGAAGATTGAGAGAGAAGATCCTGGACAAATATGACAGCATGGCATGAAAGATCATCTCTGTCAGAACTACTCCGTCAGGACATTCCCTGCCTCTTCTCTAGCAAGCAGGTAACACTAGGGTGACCGTTTCCTTCCTGCACTGAAAGATTATTTTCTATGGATTTTGTATTTATAATAAAGAAGCTTATGGGAGTGTCCCGAGTGATGTGATGTCGATTCTTAATTCAACATTAAACTTTCTGTGTCAGAATTGAATGAAAGTACACGAGATAGAAAGTTATAGACAGACATGACCACCAACGCCAAGAAGAAGAAGATAATGATGACAATCTGGTAATAATAATGATTTTAAAAAATAATGATGAGGGTGATAATGATAATGTGATGATAATGTAATAATAATAATAATAATGTTGGTAATGTTTATAATGTGGAGAATGGAGGATGGTAGAGTCCCTAAGGACATCCTTTATGGTGAATTAGAGATGGGTAGAAGACTGACTTCTACTAGGATATAAAGATGTGTGTAAATGGGTAAGAATGATTCAGGCATTGAGGTGGACTCGTGGGAACAGAATACCAAGGACCGTGTTGTGAGGAAGGGGCACATCAGGAAGGGAATGAGAATAAAGGAAGAAATGATTGCAGAAAGGATGAGAGCTGAGCGTTTGAGAAGAAACAGACTAAACATAAATGTTGGCAACAACGGTCCTGAAATCCCATGCAATAATTGTAATTGTGGAAGACCTCTCTTAACGTGAGCGAGTCTTGCTAGTAATACTTGCCATCTCCATGGGCTGCGAGTCCCATGCCTTCTCATAGCTCAATATAACACCATTGTCTGGAAAGATGGAAAGGTGCCAATCTTAATATCTACCCCCCCCCCTCCCCCAAAAATGTTTATGATGATGACAAAAACTTATAATAAAAACATACTTACTAGGCCATTCAACTTTCATGATGTCCACACCAATGAGGTTACTTCTCTCTGCCGCTAGAACAACATAATCCCCCTGATGAGAAATGTTGAAGCTGATGTCACACCGTGGGGACAACTTGTCAAAGGGACTCAGCAGAACAGGCTTCCCTTTTTCAGTTCTGCCAAACATCAGTGACCGGTAAGGAACATCCAACATCCTGGAGACCGCATAGCGCAACAGCAGACGCCCCACCTTAAATTATTAAAAGACTTCTTTGTTATCTTATTATCTTCATCTATTCCTTGTGTTCACTTACTGTAAACTGTGTGGAAAGTTCTGGTTGTTCATCCAGTTCTGGACTTGTGTTTTACAGATCTAGCTTATTTATATGCAGATTGTTGATTTTTCATCCTTCTGATTCTTCATCCTTCTGGCAGACGCACTAAAGCTTTGAAGGTTAGACCCCTAATTCATCAACTTCTATCTATGACATGCCTGTTAGTAAGGCAGTGGATCAATTCTTTGTTTCCTCAAATTGGGTCCCACAACCAACATGGGGAGTGGTATATAATGACAAATATAAAAACCCTTTTATTGAATATGAATCTGTCCTTCTTTGTTCACCGGCTGTAAGCCCCGGTTGAAAGTCCTGGTTGTTCATCCCTTTGGACTTTAGCTTTGTCCCAGGGCCTGAGTGTTGCTTGCACAATCATTTTACTGGCTTTTTTGTGTGCAGCTGGTTGTTCCTTGCCGCTCGGACAGATGCACTCCAACTTTAAAGGATGTCAACAATTAGTCAAGTCCTACGACATGCTTGTTGGAGAGGCAGTAGGTCTTTTTTTCCCCTCATAATGGGGGCCCAGAACCCACACGGGGAGCATGTCCTTCTGATCCATGGAATCAAACCACTAATCTTTCCTTAGAAGGGGTTTGCCTGGTCTCGAGGCATGGTGTCTGCCTTGAGTGCTAGAGGTTCCAGGTTCAGTCCGAAGAAAGGGCAAAGATTTTTTCACCACGTGGACATGGACTTCTAGTAACACCCCTGGTTTCTGGGTAGTGAGATCAGACGCCTGTGTGTATTGATGCAGACGTAAAAAATCCCTCGGCAGTTGGAAATCGAAAAGTGTAGCCTGACGGAGCCTGTGCACTGTGCTGAGCTTCTTCGGAATCAGACTTTAGTTAGAAGAAGAACAGAGCACTTATGGATTACGACCTGTGTGCCCTGATGTTGATGCGTTGTTCAAAGCTTCAAACTTTCCTTAGAAAATTACCTCATTCACAGTTCTGGCATTCTCAGCCATGTAGAAATCACTGTCCTCTATAATCTTTTTCTTACATTCCATATCGTGTGACACTGATATTCATGACTATCCATAACTGTTTCCTGTACTTTCAGTGAATTCTGACACAGATGATCTTCTATGCCTCGATGTCAAACTGTCCAGCATCCCCGTGTGGGTTCTGGGGTCCTACTGTGGGGGAAACAAAGAAAAGACTCACTGCCCCACTAAAATGTATGTTATAAAAGCCGATTAATCAGGGGTTTTCTTCGAAGTTGGAGTACCTCTGCCTGAGAGGCAAGGAACCAACAGTCTGCATACAAATAAGCCAGATCTGTCAAACAGATGAGCATGCAAAACTCAAGTTTTGGAACAACGCTAAAGTCCAGAAGTGGATGAACAACCAGAATTTTCCACCAGAGTTGACAGCCAATGAAGGCAAACAAAGAGGAAGAAATTGTCCAGCATCTTCTCATTGTCTTCCTCTGCCTCTTCCCGCCCCCTCCCCCAAATTTGTCACCGTTACGATGTACTCCAGTTTACTATTTCTCATGACATGACAAACAATGTAGATTGTCTACTTATGATGTGGGCAATCATTTCTCTTTGTTAAGCAATTTCTTTCAAGACATTTACATTACTCCATACTCTTAATTTTTTTTTTAATTTTATTTTTTCTTTCATTTATATATTTTAGCTTGTGTTTGTTCATGTTTCATTTCACAACAGCACATTGTGTCTATACTTGTGTGTTTCCTTTGCTCTGACCATCGCCGCTATTTGTTTACTGGCTGATTGCTTGTGTTTTGCTCAATTTTTATACCATGATATGAAAGTCTTTTCCCAGCAATGTTCTAAGTTTGCTTATTTAAAGGTTATTCTGTGAAGCTAATTTATTACTTTGCGTTCCCCTCCCTTCTCCCATTTTAAGACAATTTCTTAGTTATAGTACTGGTTCAAGCAGTAAAAAATAAAAGCCTAGCTAATATTGAAAAAAATAATTCTTCTTCTTCTTCTTCTTGTTCACCGGCTGTGAATTCCGGCGGTAAGTCGCGGTTGTTCGTCCAAAATGGACTTTTGGCTTTTACCTTGACCTGAGTTTTGCGTGTACATCCGTTTTACTGGCTTATTTGTTTGCAGTACTCGTTCCCCGCCTCTTCGGCAGATGTACTCCGACTTCGGAGGAAGAAAAAAATAATAATAATAAGGAAATAATGAGATGTATGCCACCCTGCCTCCTCCTCCTACTGCTAACTTTATACTAGGGTTGCAGATCACCACAGACGCTAGGTCGGTAGTCGTCTTCTTCTTCGTGTTCACCAGCTGTAAACTCTGGCGGAAAGTTCTGGTTGTTCGTCCACTTCTGGACTGCAGTCGTGTTCCAGAACCTGAGTGGTGCGTGTGCATTCGTTTGACAGATTTAACACATCTGTGTGCAGACAGTTGATTCCTCGCCTCTTGGGCAAATGTACTCCGACTTCGAAGGAAGCTCCCAATCAGTCGACTTTTACGACATGCTTTTGGGTAGGCAGTGGGTCTATTCTTGTTTTCCCTATAATAGGGCCCCGGAACCCACACGGGAGGTCGGTAGTAGGTTGCCTATTCTGGCATGCACACTCGACCTCACTGCATGGAGGAAACAATTATGAAAACTGACATCTGTTGTATGTATATTATTTAGTACACATTACTGAGATTTAAATACTGATATTAGTATTAGGAGTTGTGTAACTGATGTCTTGCTGTGAAACCATGTTTTGCCGTTTCCAACTTGCGTTTCTAAGTTGACTGTTGACAATCTGCCAAACGGTATGTAAACATTTCTCAACACAGCTTATATTAGGGAGACTTAAGCAGTTTGAAGTGATATTATTTTTTTTTATTTCTGCATTCATTTTGACAGTTGGCTTTGTGGCTAAGTCAATGCAAACGCTTCGTAATGCTGAGGTGCCGGGTTCGATCCCAGCTGCGGACCATGCCCCTTGCTTTGGTTTCGACGGTGGTATCAAGAAGCCGACAGTCCAGAAAGAAATGTCAAACTACTACTACTAGATGTAAATTTGCCTAGAAAAACTACACAATAGCCAGGGGCTGCTGGGGTTGGTTCTGCAAAGTCCTGTAAAGGATATGCAACTCACCTTTCACCTTAATTTTTACATAAATCTTTGAAGTTTCACAATGAAAAGATTTCAGCAAGAGTTGAAAACAAGATTTTGGTGACCATGTTGTCTTAATTCAGATCCGCAATACAACATGTCTGCTCCAGACAGACGTTTAACCTGGTTTGATTTTATAATTAATAATTCATTATATGCTAGTTATTTTGTTGCAGGAATTACAAATTTATTTTCTATAGAGAATAAAATTACTGATTTATGATGTTATTTTATTTGTCATCAGATTTAACAAATGTTAAAGATATTTTCCCACATGTCAGTGGAATGCCATTCAAGCTTATCATAGTCACATTTTTTGGGACTTTTTTTGGCTATTTAGTACTTTAGTGAAATGCTTACTTCAGTATTCATGGTATCTGATTTACATTTTTGAAATCCAAATCCAAAATCACTGAAGCATTTGTTCAGGCATGTATCATTATTTCTGGTTAACAGCACATTATCTGTTTGAGAATTTTTGTACCTGATAACCCCAAAATCTGGATAGGAATTTTAACCATCATGTTAATTAGACAATATTGCTGAATATCTTCATTTCTGTGTGATCCACATGTCCGCCCCATCACTCCGCAAAATACGGTATACATCTTGCCCGTTGGTAAATAACCATAAATTTATAATACGGTAAAAACCCAACAGAAAACTTCACTTGCATCCCTATAGATATACTAATAAAGCACATGTTAGATCTTAATTTACTTAGGTATAGACAAAAAAAAAAAAAAAAACTTACCATGGATAACTTTGCATCTTTCTTAAAAATAAACTTTCCTATACGATCCTTCTCCTCTGCCTGAACACACTGGGCTGCCAGCTTCCATTCGTTCTGAGTTGGGTTCCAGCTACGAGCTTTTACAGCAAGTCGAACGCTTCGACCACTGAACATATTGACCACTTGTTTGCAGTTATATAAAATAACTCAGCTTATAAATTCGCTAATAAATAGTGCGACAGGATAGCTTATAAATTCCTAGACTGCTTAGTTTGTAAACTATATTCCACATCGAAAGTGCAAAATAAAAACATAGGGCGCATCCATTTTGGAGGAGTAATTATTATTTTTTCTTTCCAAGGGAGTGTTCATAGTTTTTCACGCACAAAAACTAGGCAGAAAATATGGAGTAGCACCTCTCAATGAGTTTTCAAAATGAAAACTTGTGGTGGGCATAAACGTTTATTTCTTTTTTTTTTTTGCCCCTCCCCCCCCCCATCCTTTTTACCTCCTCTTCTTTGTGCTCCTCCTCATCGTCCTGTATGTATGTATGTATGTATGTATGTATGTATGTATGTATGTATGTATGTATGTATGTATGTATGTATGTATGTATGTATGTATGTATGTATGTATGTATGTATGTGTGTATGTGTGTGTGTATGTATGTATGTATGTATGTATGTATGTATGTATGTATGTATGTATGTATGTGTGTATGTGTGTATGTATGTATGTATGTATGTATGTATGTATGTATGTATGTATGTATGTATGTATGTATGTATGTATGTATGTATGTATGTATGTATGTATGTATGTATGTATGTATGTATGTGTGTATGTGTGTGTGTGTGTGTATGTATGTATGTATGTATGTATGTATGTATGTATGTATGTATGTATGTATGTATGTATGTATGTATGTATGTATGTGTGTGTGTGTGTGTATGTATGTATGTATGTATGTATGTATGTAGTGTATGTATCTATGTATGTGAGTACGTATGTATGTATGTGTTTACATGATGTATGTATGCCTAATTTCATAATGTATATTTTTATAAAAACATAACATGCATTATTGATAACATGCAATGGTGCTCTGAGAGATCAGTGCCGAAAATAAGACGGGCCTGCGTGTCCAATTTGTAACCCTTTAAAAATAACGTTTGTTCGTTTCGTCCTCGTCTTCAGTTTGACTTTAACCTTTCTTCCTCTCAGTCGCTCCTCTTTTCTTCTTGTTTCTCTAATTATAATTATATTTATTATTATTTTCTTTTTCATTCTTTATAGCGAGAGCGTTGGACAAAACACGAACTCCGAGGATAATGAGACGATGTCTGTGGGTCTAATTAAAAAAAAATGAAATTATGAACTGAAAGTCGCTGTTTGTCACGAACATTAGAAATCATCAACCTACTACTGGGTAGCCTGTATATTACATATGGCTCGAAGTCTACTCCTCCATTCCTTATATCATGTGCAATCCTCTTGATATCGTAGACAGAATCCAATCTAGAGCGCTTGGCTGTTTCAACAACTTTCATCTCAGGATTTGGCCTGTCTCAACAAAGTTCGTCTCAGGATTTGCCTGTCTCAACAACGTTCGTCTCAGGATTTGCCTGTCTCAACAACTTTCATCTCAGGATTTAGCCTGTCTCAACAAAGTTCGTCTCAGGATTTGCCTGTCTCAACAAAGTTCGTCTCAGGATTTGGCCGGTCTTAACAAAGTTCGTCTCAGGATTTGGCCTGTTTCAACAAAGTTTGTGACAGGATTTGGCCTGTCTAAACAAAGTTCGTCTAAGGATTTGGCCGGTCTCAACAACGTTCGACTCAGGATTTGGCCGGTCTCAATTATGTTCGTCTAAGGATTTGGCCGGTCTCAATTATGTTTTTCTAAGGATTGGGCCGGTCTCAATTATGTTCGTCTAAGGATTTATCTTGGACTTCCTCAATTCATCAACCTATTTTTTTCCTATTGCCGTGCCTGTATGGTAATTCTTTGCCTCCCTATTAAATCCTCAAATAATTGTCATCTTCTTTATCGTATAAATTATTATACAAACAGTTGAAAGAAATTTCTCTTATTTCTTCACCTGTTTTTAATTTATCCCATTGAATGCTCATCAATTTCTTCATGTGGCTGCATGATCTCGAGGCATGGTGTCCGCCTCGAGTGCTAGAGGTTCCGGGTTTAATCTCCAGTAAGAGCTGAGATTTTTTCATGAGGACTTGGACTTCTAGTAATTCCCCCTGGTCTCCGGGTAAGGATTTCGGACGCCCGTGTGCATTGTTGCGCCCCGTTAAAAACACTCCATTGGCAGTTGGACATGGAAAAGAGTAGCGTAACGGCGCTACCCGGGCAAAATTTGAAGTTTAAAATGTACCCTAAGTATTTCAGGATCCTCATCGGTGCTACAGATGATTTATGACAGCGGGATAGAGAAACACAAAAAGAGGGTAAAAGTAACGTTGGTCTCCCCAAGCCCTGCCCATATACACACTAGCTCATTTCTGATTAGCAGTTCCTGAACCTGTCACCTTGGCACAAAGTTACGGGGGTGTTCCGCAATGCCGTTGAAATCGCGTGTTATATATTTCAGCACGCCAGCGCTTTTAACACTCCAAAAACACGGGAAAACTGGTCCTATCACAACCCCCTTAGAGAGTACTGCAACCTATGTCACAGACATTCTCTTTCTTGGAATGAAAACGTAAATGCAAGACATCACAGCAACCAAACAGCAGAGCGGGACACACCCGTAACCCTCAGGAAAGTAGACCAGCCCAACAAACTTGTGAATTAAAAGTCACCTATATATATTGGGGAGATTAACGTGAACCTAACCCAAAGAGAGTAGGCAACACAGCACACACATCGTGACTGTAACAGACGGAGTAAGCATGCTGAGGAAGGTGCGGACAGGCATGCTGCGTGTAGAGTGGCGTGCTTCGCTGCAGAGGTCACGGGTGAGAGGCATTGTCTATGTTTTCTCCGGGTCATGGTGGTGTGTTGGGAAATGAACAGGCGGACAGACCGGCTGGCATTGCCCAACTTTGTGGAATACTGATGCATGATAAGGCAGACACGGTTAGGGCCTTGCGGGAGAACGTGTACAGTCTGGTGAAAGGGGTGCAGCGGGGAGTGACGAGGGTATCTGGCTGATACTCGACGCTCAGAGGAAAGGCAAGTCGGACGTATAATCAGAATGCTACTGGCATCATTGGTATTGTAACTCTGTGCTGGCTGCTGAATATGGGTACGGGACGCTTATGGGAATGTCCCACGTGGTGAGATGTCGGTTCTTGAATCAGCTCCACTCAGCAAAGAGACCAGGCAGCAATTTTCACAAAAAATTACTGGGTTGACCCTCAGGTTTATGAGTCATAACACATTCATTTAGTATTAAAACTATATTTTGTATCACAATCATTTCTTCAGATTAAACAGCATTACAAGTCTATATTAAGCTCCAACAAACAAAAATGAGAGTCAACAATTTGAGAGCATGTATCTTCCCTGTAGCAACATACAGATGTGAATTGTTGACCATCTCGCAGTGATTGAGACCGAAAATAGAGCTTTTGAGCTGAAATGCTGTAGACAGGTTCTCAGAATATTACGGACGAAACAGAAAATAAATAGTAACATCCTAAAAAAATCTGAACATTAAGGAAGACTGCCTGGTAAACAGTATCTTTTCTCCGAAACTGAAATAATTTGGCCATATCAAGAGATGCGGCTGGCTGAGTGGTTACAACTTCGGGCTGTAATGCGGGAGAACCGGGTTCGAGGTAAGGTGATGGAGCTATTCTGTTGGGGCTAGAATTAAACATCCGAACCTGAACAGTTTGTGGCGACAGCACTAGTAACGCGGCCCTAAAACCTCAGTCTAACGACCCCCCTGCCAACACCACCCTAAAAGTGGTGAAACAGACCACAGGGACAGGTTTTACAGCTAAAAGTGCCAAGTAGGATTGGTAAAATTATCTTCTATATGTATACAGAGGGCATGCTGCCAGGAAAGAGGAACAGGAACAGACCAACATAAAGATAGGCACAGGATATAAGGGACACCTTGGATAGGACAAAGCAGGAGGTGGGAGAGCTGGCCAGAGACGGAGTTTGTTTCAGACAGCCAGCGATAAAAGCGATGATCTACAAAGACCCTGTTACACGAATGAATCATTTCTTTCAGACATTTATGCAGTTTATATCATTATTTTAAACATGGTCCTGTTCACACTTTTTAATGGTGTGATTACTTCAGATACAGTGCATTAAGAATTTGGATAATCTTAATAACATCGGGCTTTTGTCATGACACTGATATGATTTGATTTGATTCAAGAACCGACATCACAGCACTCGGGGCATTCCCATAATCGCTCTGTCCCCATCTTCAGCAGCCAGCCAAGAGTTCCGATACTAATGGTGCCAGTAGTATTCTGATTAAACGTCCGTTATGCCTTTCCTCTGAGCCTCGGGCATCTGCCAGAACCTCTCGTCATTCCCCGCTGCATCAATCTCACCAGACTGTGGTGATCCATCTGCTGCTCCGAACTGTACACGCTCTCCCACAAGACACTAACCACGTCTGCCTTATCATGTATCAGTATTCAACCAAGTTGTGCAGAGCAAGCCAGTCTGTCCGCCTGCTCATTTCCCAACACACAAGCATACCCGCTGAAAAAATCCAGACAATATTCCTCACCCGTGTCATTGACACTGAAGAATGTCAACACATTCATTTGTGTATATATGTGTATATATATATATATATATATATATATATATATATATATATATATATATATATATATATATATGTGTGTGTGTGTGTATTTATATATATGTATATATATATATATGTATATATATATATAATATATATATATATATATATATATATATATATATATATATATATGTGTGTGTGTGTGTGTGTGTATTTATATATATGTATATATGTATATATATATATATATATATATATATATATATATATATATATATATATATATATATATATATATATATATATATATATATATATGTATATATATATATATATATATATATATATATATATATATATATATATATATATATATATATATATATATATATATATATATATATATATATATATTTATATATATATATATAT